GGCCTGCTGTGTTCATCCAGCTCTGCACCTTGTTGTCTTGGATTCTCCAGCATCTGCAGTTCCTACTATCTCTAGGTAGCAATGGTTACAACTGTATGCTGGCATGGGGCATAAGGGCAGATATGGCATGCCTGGTCCAAATTGCCTGTTTCTGTTTCACCTATTTGGGCAAGTTGAAAGCTAAATCAAGCCTTTTAAGAGTTTGAAGTAAGGTATAATGCCTACTTTGAACGATCATATATGTTGGCAACAGTGAATACTGATTCTGAAATAAATATGAATTTCTTTAGACCAGTACAAATAATGGTAGAAATTGTGTTCACATAAAACGGTGCTGTACTTTGTGGTAATATTACCACAAAGTGGACATCTCCCCCACAGGGAGAGATAATTGTCTGGAGAAATTTGAAGGTGGTTTCATGAGAAAATCCGAGAGAGCAAAGACACACAAACAAGATTGGCCTCTGGCCTCTGACTGGATGAAAAGCAGGAATAAAATATATTTTTGAGCACTGAGTTCAATTGAGGCATTCAGGAGGGCCCTGAATGATTGATTATTTTTATCCAAATAATGTGCAAGGCTGTAGCAATAAAACAGGAGATTGGCACAAGGACATGATGCTTAGTTAACAAGTTAATACAGGCACGATGGGCCGAATAGCCCCCTTTTATGGGCTGTAACGTTTCTGTAATCTAGTGATAAAAGTTAAATCACAATTTTAAATATATATCCTCTCCTCTTGTTCCATCTCCCAGTTTATGGTATTTATTCTCTCCTGAAGTGGCAGAGTTCTCCACATTTTTGTTTTGCCTTTTTTCAATGTAGCGAAAATGTCAACCAAACCTTCTCCATCCAAACGACGCTGTTCAGATAAAATGGAAACTCCGGTCCCTGGGGCAGAGAATGAAGAGCTAGGAAGTCCTGTTGCACAACATCCTCCAAGTCAACCTGTTGCATTAATTGGGGTTCAGGAAGAACAAAGTGTGAATCAGAATGCACACCCAGTATCCTCTGTGAAGAATCGAATGCAAGCGTTGGCTGAACAACGACGCCAATGGGACTGTTATGGTATGGCCTAATTATACATTAGAATGTGATTGTATATTTCATTGTGATTTACTACTTTGGAGAGCAATTATCCCTTTCTGGAAGTTCCAGCAACAATTGGCATTTTATCAACTTTTAATGTTGTAAATCATCTTATGGATGCCTCATTGTGTTATACAAACTAAATATAACATTGAACCTCATGAGGAGATAATGGGAGAGAAGACTAAAACTTCGATCAAATGGTCTTACGCCTCTCCCTCCTGCCCCCTAATTGAGTGTTAGCAATATGGGGGACGTTTGACTAGGCAGGAGGGTGGGGACCTTGCTAATTTCCTGCCTCTGCCCTGATTAACTCCATGGTGGAAGATCAATGGACATCCGCCCCCTCCTATAACCAGTTAAGTCCTTTAAGTGGGAAATTATTGGCTGTATTAATCCAGTGGCAGATGGGTCTTACCTTTCAGATCATTACAAGTATGGGGAAGGGAGCTGTTGAGAGTGAATGACTTTTTTTGTTGACTCCTCTTCCTTACAATCCCCAACACTTGACCTCCCTTCCCTGTCATTCACGCCTAGCCTAGGATCCAGCTACAATCCTTGGCTTTCAGTGAATGCCATATCTGCAGCAGTCACCACTTCACAATGACACTGCAGTTCAATAGAGCTGCCAGCCTCTGCCATCATTTTATCCTAAGGTCCTTGAAGCATGAGAAGCCCTCCCTCTAGCTTGTCAAGCACTTGAATGGAACAAGATGAGATGTGAAGAGCTGGCAGGGGGTTCTTGCCAGTTGGCAGTCAATGTCCTTATCTCCAAGATTTTTCCTGTTGTTTTCCAAAGGAGCAGTTCCTCTTAAAGAAGAGGGAGTGGAGAATTTTAGGGGGAGAAATCCAGAACGTCAGGGCGAACGTACTCCAATGTTGGAGCAATAAAAATCAGGGTAATGCACAACTCTAACACCTGGCAAGTGGCAGTGCTTTGCAAGGTTATGAAAAATCATTGTATTATCCTGACAGTTTTCCTTTCTCGCTAAGAAAGAAACCAAAGAAGTCAAATATGGATTACTTAATATTAAAAGTAAAGACAATTGCTTTCCTTTGAAACTATTAATCAAACTCTGATGGTCATATTTAGAGCTCTGTTAAGGGAATTGAAAAAGTAAGCTTATGTATTGTTAAAGGACTTGCCTATTGGTGTGACTTGGCCATGTGTGAATAAAAAGAAGAACTTGCGTTGATATTATACTTTTCATGACCTTAGGACATCAAAATGTGTTTTATCAGCTGAAATATTGTTTTCAATTGAGACGAAACTACAAATGTGGGAAATGAGCATTTGCACACAGCAAGATACTGTAACTAATACATTAAATCTCTTTTGGCATTAGTTGGGGGATTAATTTTGGGTGCGATACCAAGAGAACTCCTTTTCCTATTATCTTAAAATAGTCACACTGGATTTTTTAGACTCATTTTGGACTGGAAGGGATTATCATTTAATCTTTTATGAACAACAGCAACTCTGACTGTACAGTAGTAGTCCTTCAATTTGGTGTTGTGGCACAGTGGTAGTGTCCCTACCTCTGAACTAGAAGCTCCATGTTCATATCCTACTTGATGGCCACAGAAGATGTCATAATATGGCAAATGGGTTAATTCTCAATTTTTCCATTTCCTCCAGTATAATCATGGCAGGTGGTAAAAGGAAAATTTCCTGATCACCTAGTGGTGTAGTAACTGCAGTGGAAAAGTTTCCAAGTTAAAAGATCACACATTTTCTTCATTCCAAGGGACTGATACACGCAACTTCATTACTTTGCTAACCTCGGAAGATGCATTCAAGATTTTGAAGTAGGGCCCTCTATACTAATAAATTATGTTATTGAAGGTTTATTGATTCAAAATATGCATCTTAATCTCTACAAATTTGAGAACAAGAAAATTGATGAATGGTTATTTTATGATGAGTGAAACTGTGATTGATTATTGTGAAAGATGAACAAGTGACAATTGATTCCAAAGCAGAAATATGACCCACCCTTATTTTCAGAGAGTAATTACTGATTTTTGACACCAGAGGGTAGTGTCTACAATTGTATTACGAACAACAATTCAAAAACAGTTTCAGTTTTTTAATGTTATCTCATCGAGTCATAGAATCAAACAACATGCAAACAGACCCTTCAGTCCAATCAATCCATGTGGAACATTAATCCCAAACTAAACTAGTCCCACCTGCCTACTTCTGGCCCATGTCCCTCCAAACCTTTCCTATTCATGTACTTATCCACAGGTCTTTTAACTATTGTAATTGTACCCACATCCACCACTTCCTCAGGAAGTTCATTCCACGCAGGAACTACCCTCTATGTTTTAAAAAAAAAAAAAAAGTGCCCCTCATGTCTTTTTTAAATCTCTCTCGTCTCGCCTTAATGTGCCTCCTAGTCTTGAGAAAGCCCATCCTAGGGAAAAGACAACTACCGTTAACTTTATCTATATCCCTCATTATTTTACAAACTTCTATAAGGTTGCCTGTCAACCTCCTACATGCCAATAAAAAAATCCCAGCCTGTCTTTATAATTTAAACCTTACATACCCAGCAACATTCTGGCAAATCTCTTCTAAACCCTCTCCAGCTTAATAATATCCTTCCTATAACTGGGCGACCATATCTGGATGTTGATTGAAATCTCCTGTGTGAATAGCAACTTTGAGATGAGTGAGAAAATTGTTCTAGCGTTAGCAAGGACAATGTAAGGGAGAGTTCTACATTGAAAGAGTACAGTCTGATGAGGAACAGTCATTGCTTGACTGCAAGGTAAGAACTAATTGTCTGCAATAAGTCATCTTGTTTCAGTCCTGAGTTGCTGTCATCTGACTGAGTCTGCTTATTCCTTGGTGTACTGCAGCACTGTAATCTCATGGCATATCCCTCACTTTACTATTACCGTCAAGATGGGGGATTAATCTATGGATAATGAAGAGTCCAGGAGCAATACCAAGCATGCCTAAAAATGAGGCATCGAACTGATTAAGCTATAACACGAGTACTTGCATTCTAAACAACGGAACTATCGTGAGATCTTGTAATTAACCGTTTTGTATCTACCCTTTGCGGTCCTGCCCCATACAGCTGTGTTTCGTGATAATTGTGTGTCTAAAAGGAGGAGGTTTTACTTGCAAAGGAATAGCTTGCTTGCTAATGTTCAGTTTGAGTTCCATCAAGGCCATTCCGATCATGATCTCATTACAACCTTAAGTCAGACAGTGACTAAAGAGCTGAACTGTGGAGGTGCAGTTAGATTGCCTTCAACATTAAGGCATAATTTGACCAGGTATGACATTAAGGAACCACAGAAACAGTCATTGGGGGAAAGCTCTCCATTGGTTGAAGTTATAAGTTAAACAAATTAAGGTTGTTGTTGTTGTTGTTACTACAACATACCAATTGTGTAAATCCCAGTATATCACTGCAGGAGATATTAGATATTTCCTAATAAACCTGTTCAGAAATATTATTACAGACCTCTGGAGTAGTTGGGACTTGAACCCAAGCCGTCTGACTCAAAGGTTACAGACAACCACTATACCACAAGAGCTCAAATACCTCCGGGTTGATATTTTTGATCACCCTCAGCCTTGGATTGGTAAATGGCATGTAATATTGCCTTGCCGTTGTAAATCACATTCTCCAACAAGACAGAATCTAACTGCTCATCTTGACATTCATTGAATTAGCATTATTGTCATGAACTCAAATGAGTACAGTGAAAACTTTAAGTTGCCTCTTACAGTTCCATCTTAGGTACAAGGTATCTAAGTATAGTTTCTTAAGTTACAGATTGGTTACACTAACTAATGTCACCAACACGGTGCCATCTTGGGTACAGAGTACCCAGGTACAGTCTTCAATCACAGAATAGAGAAATGAAGAAAAAAGAAGTTACAGCTATACACAGTATAATCTTGGGTCAGAAAAACGAGAAGTAAGTTTTTAAAAAAAGACAGTCTCTCTCCGAGGGGGCCTCCATGTGGTTTGACAGTTGACTGTGGACACGTTCCATCTTGGGCTGCTGGTCCCTAGCGACCCTGCTTTTGAGCCCAGGGCCAGGTGTCCGATGCCAAGAAAAGGAAAAAAAAGGGTGGAGTGGACGAACTCTGGCTGGAGTGACCTCCTGCACTGCCAT